AACGACTCGGGATGAGAACCTAGTCCCGAGGAGGGGGTCCAGACCTCTTGGGGCCCGCGCTGCGACAAAAACTATACGTCGGAGATCTGGGTAGAAAAGGTAACGCCCACTTATGGGACGCTCTGATCGTGCATGACAGCTGCTGAGGCCTCGTCTTCATCCTCGCCGCTGGTATAGCGGGGCACTGGGAGCGCTCCGGGACTCAAGGATGGCTGGGACGCCCCTGGCTCGGGGTGGTCGGTGCCGCGTGTATCGGCGGGCTGCGAGTAGAGCCGGCGACCAGTCCTGGGACTGGCGGAGGCGGTTCCTCCTTGGGCTTTGGGGCGTGCTAGGTGGTCCCTTCCTGGGGCGAGTGCCCCGTGGGGCGAGATCCAGCGTGCCCCCCGTTGCCAAGTTCCCCGCCGGCCCAGGTCTTCGGTCTCGCCCTGCCTGGCTCGCCACCCTCTCCAAGGGAGCCCCCGTCGGCCGGTGGCTTTCCGCGGCGCGCGGCGTGGGCCCTCAGCCGAGATGGTGCGCTCGTTGGAGCCTCCCGCCACACCCACTGTCTGGCTGAGCGCTCTTGCCCTGTCTCGAGGGCGGCACGGAGCGCATGCGCCGCTGGCGCCTCGGAGGCCCATGGTATTAGCCTGGAGGTGCCAGCTGCTTTTGCCCAAACGTCGGCTCTCCGAGTGTCTGCCCGCGGGAGGTCGCGCCAAGCACCGTGTCGACAGGAACTCACGCACCCTGCTCCGTGGTCTGCGCTGGCTGTCCTGAACCCGCGCCGATCTGCTGCCGCGATGCTCCGCCATGCTCCCCTGCTTCTGCGCCGGCACTCTGCTCCAGTCCCTGCTCCTCGACCCCTCCCTGTCCGGGTCCTCTTCTCCTGCGCCTGCTCCTGCTCCTCCTGCTTCTGCTCTTCCTTCTCCTCCTGCTCCTCCTCCTCCGCCTCCTTCTCCGCGCGCCCATCTTCGTCGTTCGCCCTCCCCCTTCTCCCCTGGGTCGCACGCGGGACGCGCACAGGCGGCCTGTGACAGGCCTGTGAGAAGCCATCTCTTCTTCTTCGTGCACACCAGCTCTGCACAGCACCCGGATCAACGGCAGATGGCGCCCACCGCAAGCGCAGCCCGTAGACCAGTAGCCCTGCGCCAACCGGCGGGCCCCGTGCCGCCCTTTCTTATCTCTTCACGAGTGCTCGCATGCTTCGGCGGCGAGCGAGGGGAGCGGGAACAGGAGGAGGGGCGGGCCCTCTCAGAAGGCTCGGAAGGCCTCGGGCATTCGGGGAAGTCTTCGGTACCTTCCCCGGAGACACCGAAAACTTCTCAGAAGGCCACAGGGGCTTCTGAGAAGCCCCGACGCCTTCTGAGAGGGCCTTCTCCTTTTCACTTCCCCTCTCGCTCGCCGCCGATGAATATCACCCCCCCCAGATCATTGCAGCAGCTGGATCTACGACGGTGGGTCCGACAAGGTCGGCCCAAGGGCGAAACGCTCAACAGACGAACGGCAGAGGCCGAACGCCCTCTGTAATTGCACCGTCGTGCCAGTCCGCTGCAACTGGGCCCCGTGCCAGCTTGCATGTGCGAAGCAAATTTATACGTCCCGTGTAGTGGGAGAGAGGAGTAGCGCATGTGAACTTCCTGCACCACGCGGGCAACCACCGCTAGGCTGATGCCCATTACAGGGAAGCGGGGGCAGTAAGGCCGAAGACTGCGGCGTCTGTGCGCAACGGCGTGCGCAAACGCGTGCACAGGCCCTCGTCGGGTGTGCGCATTCGTCCTCGGCAGCACTGCAAACAAACACACATCGGCACGCGCTGCCCACGGCCATTCCCCCTCTATTTTCTCCTCCTGTTGCGCACCGTCCTCCCCCCACCCCCCCTCCCCCTCGCGCGTGAGCTTACCAGGCGAGCCACTATGAAAGTACATGCACGTTTCAGATACCATTTGCGCTGCCGCCGCTGATGTGTCGTCATGGCAGGGCCTCTTCGTTCGTTCGTGCTGCGCGCCGCCCACGCGCGGCGATCCGTGATCTGCGACCACACCTCGCGCAGGCCCGCGGAACGGGTCTGCGCCGAGCGCGCGCGCGGCACCCGGACGCCTCCGAGGGTAAGTTGCCAGAGGAAAAGGATCCATTGGGCCCAGGACCACACACATAAAATACAAACACGCACCCCTGGACTCGTCATATCTGCTATATTTTCTGGATGCTCGTTCCCCCTTTCCAGTCCCCACACTTGCCGCATGCTCATGGGGGCCGACGGTTCGCTGTGTCTGTCTGTGTGTTTTTTCCCTCAGGATAGCAGGGGGGGGGCAGGATCTCCTTCCTCCTCATGCCGGTGCGCCTCCCCTCCGCCCCGCCCTTATCCCGCTGCCCCTCCCCCCCCCCAGTAAAAAGAGCCACGGGCGGTCTAACATGGCAGACGGCTCGGAGCACGTGCTGCGTCGCATGCAGCCCTGGCCGCCGGTGGCAATTCTGCAAGCAAAGCGTAGTTGGGAAGGAGGAGGAGGAGGAAGAGGAGGAGGAGGAGGAGGAGGAGGGGGATGAGGAGGAGGAGGACGAGGAGGAGGAAAAGGAGGAGGGGGAGGAGGAGGAGGAGGAGGAGGAGGAGGAGGAGAGGAGGAGGAGGAGGAGGAGGAGGGGGAGGAGGGCGGAAGAGGAGGAGGAGGAGGAGGGAGGAGGAGGAGGAGGAGGAGGAGGAGGGGGTGAGGAGGAGGAGGAGGAGGAGGACGAGGAGGAGGAGGAGGAGGACGAGGATCGCACGCCACTGAATGGGGAGGAAGGGGAAAAAAGTCTCCACCACAGTCCCAGGGGGGCCCATCGGAGTGGACCTTTGTCAACCAAGGGCAGGAAGGCCGAAGACCCGCCCAAGGTCCGCGACGGGGCCCCCTTCTGGGATACAGTTCAGCAGTCAGACAGTTCGTCAACGTCCTGCTCTTCAGAACGATCGACTCTCTCTCCAAGCTTCAGAGCTTCACCTTCATTGAGGCCAAACGCTTGGAGGATGTCGGCAAGGCAGACCGTGCAACCTGGGCCCGCTCTGGGCCCCATCTTCTTCTCTCGAGGCTGGGCCCCTGAAGCTCTCTCAAGACACCCCAACCACGCTCTCGCCGCCCCCCCAGGAGTCCTCCAGGGGCCAAGCTTGAGAGGTCTGTTGGGGTGCTTCCCTTTCAACACCGCCTTGGTATGCTTCTTACCAGGGTCAACTAGGGCCCTCTGCGAGCCAAGACAAATTCAACGTAAACCCCTGGGCCCTGAGGAGGCCGTTGCGTACCCTCCGCAGGTCGAACAAAAATCAATTGGAGGGTGATCTACCTCCAAAACTTCAAACTCCAGGAGACAGCGTCCCCGAAAAAACCAAGGCATCTGATTACTGTCCTTGGCCCGCTCGGCCACTTCATGGGGGCAGCTCTATTCTCTGGCCTGCGGCGGAGGAGGCTTGGGCGGAGGGGGTAGCAGAAGCAGCAGCAACCTCCTCTTCCTCCCTCCTCGCCCTCTCAATACCTTCCTCCAGCTCGCCATCAGCCTCAAGCGATATCATAGTGAGCCCCGGTGCTCCTGCATTGACAAAAACTTCCTGATCTGCATAGTGGGCTTCGGCTCTGCGAATATACTTCACTAGCATGCGCGCCAGGCTGAGCATTCCCTTGGCCATCAAGACCACATCTTTGTTCCTGCGGGCAAGCGCTGCCCCATTCTTTGCTAGCCTATCCGCCGCTTGATTGCCTTCATGCTCAAACAACGAGAGGCGCCCTTCCCGAACATCAGTCATGCTGGTGTGCGCGGGGGCCTCTTTAAAAGGTGATATCGGGCGGCGTCCCTTCAAGGAAGAGTCTGCTTCCACAGGTGAGCGCGCACATTGTCGGGCCTGACTGCCCACTTCGGGCGCCAGCAGCACTGCCGCGCCCCTTTTTACAATCGGTGTGCACTGTGAAAGAGCCTACTAGATGTTTGAGGGCCACTCGAATGGCATAGTCCTCGCCATCCCTGGCCACCTGGTGTGGGCTGGCATCTGGTGGGGTTGCCCCAATGCCATGCAGCCAAAGGACGGAGCTCTCTGTCAGATCGCCACTCCCCAACCCGCGATTCCAAACGAGGGGAAGAGGCCATCCATGTCTGACCCATCGCCAAAAAACATGCCCTTTAACTAGGCCTCTGAGACCAATGAGACCCTTTAACCAGGCCTCTGAGCGATCTCCTTTCCCGCTCACCCCAAGTCCCGTCCTCCGCGCCTTCCGTGGGATCCAGCCGCTTGTGCAGCATCTCATTTTCAGAGGCCGCCAGAAAATGGGCCCGCACCAGCCTCGGCCTTGCCCGGTCTTGTCCAGCCCCACCCTATCTGCATGGCCTCGCGCCGCAAATCGCGCTCCCCCCGCAACGAAAGTGGGCGAAACTTCACTCGAGACCCATCGCTCCCCGTTGGGCTCCCGCAGCGACCAGGGGCCAGGGAGGCCTAGGCCTGTCCGTGCACAGGTAAGCAACAGCGCCGCTTGGCCCATGCCATCGGGTCAGAAACCAGGAGCGGACCTGTCTGGTGGACAGCCGCGAGCACCGCTGGCGCCAGGCGCTTTTCAAGCAAACTTTGGCAGTACGTCTGTAACGCGTCCGCTGCGACAGTGATCAAAGGGTCCCTCTGCCGACCTCCTCTTGGACGCATCGCGGCTAGATCGAACGAGCAGCCTCGTGGTATAGCCGCCCCTCTGCCCTTCGCGCTGCTATACCCTTAGGCGCTTGAGCTTGCCGTTGGGCAGCCCTTGGACGTCGGCGCCCCGCAGCGCCCTGGGGGTGGCGCCAGCTCGAAAAATGGCTCCGCACGGCGCCCCTGCCTGCCTAAGTGCCAAAATCTTGCCCACCTTGCGGCGCGCCCCGCAGTGGCGCCCATGCTGCGTCGCCACCCTACGGCGGCCCCCATCAGTGGCATCCCCTCCCAGATCCTTATGGACCTGGCAAAGTGCCGACCGTGGAAGCTGGCAGCTCACTAAAAGAGTTTGGGCGAGCTGCGGCGAAGAAGCAAGCGGCCCGAACTTATAGGTGGCGGCAGGTAGGCCCATGGCCTGTCGGCCGCCCGCCGCTGAGTTAAATGAACGAGCAAGCTCCCTGCTGATGACCTCTTCTCCTCCTATCGCAGGCAGGGCAACGTCAACAATTACATTCTTGGCACGAGCCGTGGGCGAGCCCGACGCCGCCCTGCGCAAAACACTGAAAAGCAACAATCTGGCCAAAGTTGTCGCCCCCGAGCTCCCAGCGATGACCGTTCCGCTGGGCGCAATGATGCGACTGACCGCGCCTTGCCACGAGACTCGCCGCTGGCCTCGATGCGCGCAGCAGGGCGCCCGCAGAAGGGCCACAGGGAACTCGCTCGCTCGCGCCGCGTGGAGCAGCTCCGCGCGCGAAAGGTGCTCGTAACATTTTCGCAGATCAATGAACGGCGCGTCTGCGTGTAATCCTGGCACATCTCGAGCATGCGCAGCAAGTGCATTGTGCGCCCGCGCGCTCTTGTCGCACGCCGCGCCCGAGCTCGTGCCCCAGAAAAAATATCATCGACACTGCGGCTCCCACTGGGCGCACAGACCATGTCGCACTCCACTCCAGACCCTGGCCCAGAAGGGGCGGGGTGCCCATGCCCCCCCCCCCCCCCCCCCCCCGGGGGTTTATCTAGGACAACGACCAAGACAAGCCATAGTGGGCCTATGACAGGGTCTCTGTCCCAGGCCGTGAGAATGGCCGCAACAACCTCAGGGGCTGGACGTAGCCGCAGCCTCCAAGACTTGCTGTCGGCGGTAGATGTTCCAAGACTTCGCGCGTCTGGGGGCTCTGTTCCGAGGCTCGAGAGGCCTGAGTCCAAATAGGGATCCAGTCAGCAAGGATCCCATTGAGGGCGCATTGGCCCCCCAAGGGTCTCGAGGCCACTGGAGACACTTCGGGGCCTAACTCCCCAAACGCAGGCATTGGCGGGGGAGCGGGGCCTTTGGAGTGCCGTTGGGCCACTCGACCTCCTCGTCCAACAGGCGCTTGGGCCCACTCCTTCAATGTGTTGCGGCCTTCGCCAACTTCCCGCTGGATCCTTCGGTCCACTTCAGCCTGCAAGACGCCCGCAAGACCGCCTCGCTGCGACTGGCCCAACGCCGAACAAGAAAGAAACATGGGGGAACAAACATGTTAAAACAAACGGATGCTCCCGCAGCTGATGGGAAGTGGCTGTCGAGAAAAGGTCCTGCAGCGGCTCCGCCGCCTGAAGGGTGCGTTTGCGCTTGTCAGTTGCATTGAATCTCATGTGCTGCACCGCCAACCGCCGCAAAGAAAGCCACCGTTGCGTTGCCGGGTTGGCCTTGCGGTGCAGCCCCTGGCCCCGCGGCGCATGCAATTGGGGCCAGCTGAGCCTTGCACCCTTTCGCACGCCCAAGATGCTTCGACGAAGAAATGGCGTGAACCTGGCCAAGAGCGCGCTCGGCTTCGTCAGGCCACGCTGCCATCGCCTCCCGAGGGCCTAGGAGGAGCAGGAGGAGCATCAGCAGGAAGAGGAGGAGGAGGACGAGGAGGAGGATGAGGAGGAGGCGGGGGAGGAAGGGGGGGGGGGGAGGAAAAGGAGGGGGTGGACAAGGAGGGGGCTATGATAAGATAAGAGCGCGCTCGACCCAATTCATCCCTACCTTTGCAAAGAGAAGCGAAGCACGGTGACTCCTGGATGAAGCCGCGCATGGATCTGCGTCCTCAGCTTACCATGTAAGCTTCGTGCGTCGGTCGCCCTGCTGGGGGGCACCACTGGCCACGAGCGGGGACCTCGCCTGGGGGAACCCTGGGGCCCGCCGAGGCACCGCAGTCCTGCAACGAAAAACATGAGAAGCGACGAGTGGGCCACTCACGAAGTGCGTGCACAACTGAACTCAGCATCAAGCAAACGCCTAATAATATCTGTTCCAAGGTTTCATCAACGAGAGGTTATGACGTTACTGCCTTTGTCCATCATTGCCCTGGCTATATAAATCCGCGCTCCCAGCGATTGAAATGAGACGGTGCTGTGCTCTGTCCCCATGCTGTCGTGATCTGCACCTGCAAGTTATGGATCGGCAGCGCGCGAATCTGAACTGCTCGACTTGTCGCGTCAAGAAGCGAAATCTGCACTTGGAGGGGAGGAGTATAGAAAGCCTAGAGAGCATGTCCAGATGGAAAGGAATAGTGCATGATGGGGGCGGAGGAGCGCTGCTGCAATACACTCAGTTGATCATAATTCAGCTCTCCTTCTCGGGTCCAGACTGCCGTCCTGCTGGATCCTGCCACATGCGTGAGTCTGGCCATCACCCCTCCGTCTCCACATCGTCGTTGTCGCTGACCCTCTCCCTCTCCCTTCCTCATGCCGATATTGTCCAAGAGTTCTCCGCCTCCCGCTCGAGCCCGCCCTTGGGTGCCCTCCCTGGCTTGAACTGACGCCCCGGCGTATGTAGAGCCTTGCGCACTGCCGGGTGTACCATGCCCACTGGGTTGGTGTCGTAGTATATCTGGGACGTCTGCAGCTGCGAGCTCAGCATG